GGGCATGGGGGAACACATTGATAATGAGACTGTCCACTCCTGTTGAGGTTTAGACTCAGGAACTCATGGGGCAGTTCTACCCTGTTCCATAGCATCACTATGGGTCAGAATTGACTCAATAGGTGACAGTGAGTTTGAATTTTGAGTTTAAAAAGCAGGGTTTTAATGAAGGAACACTAAAACATACAGGGTTTATAGTGAAAACAAAGACAAAATATGATTCTTTTTGAGAAGGGTTTTAATATTCCACCTGAGAAAATAAAAATGTCCAGACACTCCAAGGCTTACCCCAACCTCTTTCTATCCCCCATTTTTTTATGAAGGCTGAGACAGGGAAGGGGTAAGAAAGTAATACGAAAATCCAAGTAGGAATAAGGAAGAAAGAAAAGTACTTGTTTGTTTGTTTTCTCCTCACTACATTCTAAATACACAATTATGCTAAAATGCTAACAATCCAAATTTCTGAGAGCAACACAAAGCTAAATTTCCTGGAGTTACAACCTAACCTGAAGCAAAAAAGGTAAATCACCTGTAGCTTTGCATCTGTGGATTAAGTCTGTATGCTGAATTCCTCAAGCAACAGCAACTTCCACACAAAGCATCAGTGAACCTTGACCAAAAGGGTGGAGCTCTAAATTCTTTAACAGCTTTCTGGCCTAAGAAGTTACATCAGTTAAAGGACTTTAAACTCAAGTGTCTCATTCACACAGTAGAAAAATACCAGTTTCCATGAGAAATCACATGATGTGGGGAAAGCAGGTATGCTGGGAGGTAACACCTGGTGATAATGAAGTGTTTAAAGATAAAACCAGTAAAACTGACTTGACATGCATAGGAAGAAGAGAATGAGAATTTGGAAAGGAGCTAACTTATCTACTTGAACTCAAAATAATCCTGTAAAACAGGCCATCACTCCAAGTGTCCTGTTGATCCCTCTGACAAGTTAAATTCAACTTGTTGGATTCAAGCAGTTGAACTCAACTGCTCTTTTAATTAGGGGAATAGCCCCAGATGCCAGTAACAGTGAGTTTTTCCCCTACCATGATAAAACATTTAACTGATCCTTGGCACACACTCTCATTTAAACAGAGCATAGCTTCAATGCTGGTACAATCCTGGGCCCCTCCTTGTTCATGTTTTTCTTTAGTTTCCCTTAATCATTCTGTTCCCTAAAAAAGATTTAAAAATTAGATCCTAAGATACACTCACTAAGGAGCTTTTCACTTCAAAACTTTGCCTAATTTTTCTGAAGGCGAATGTCCTTATGAGCTCTTTCTTCTGTGGTTGCCACTTTTCTCAAACCACAGGCCTTCCTCACTTGCAGCTGAGCCAGGTCTGATAATGGTTATGTGGTCGGTTTTGTCAAGCAAACTTTGACAAGGTTTCAAAATAGACCCTGGGCACCAGCCAGAGAAACTGTCACTCAAGTTCCGACTTCATCATCATATTTTAGGCCCTCAGACCTCCTTCCTGGCCTACACCCTAGCCACAGTGTCTCTCAGATTTATAGGGCAAATGCTCCTGAACTTCCTCCTGACCATGAATGATTGTATAATATCAAAAATCAATCATTTAAGCCTTTCTTATTCTGCTCACAAACACATAGCAGAATAAAGACTGAATCTATACCGACTCTCTACACTGAGAAATTAATCCATCAATAGCACCCTGCTTTTCTAAAGGATTTCTGGACCGCAGGCGCCAGATCAGTTTATTTATTACAAGTAGACAAGGATGTGGAAGGCAAATGCAGAAGACGGCTATTTACTTTCCTACCGAATGATGCAGTCGCGTACTGAGTGACAGGGCAATGCGGCAATGTCCAACTGTGTTACCTCTCCGTGGCCCAACCTCTGGAAAGTCTATTGATATTAAAAACTGAGGGATATGTCAAAAGCCAAGTCTATTCTGGTTGGCATCAAGTCTATTCTGATTCATAAGGACCCTCCATGACAGGGTAGAGCAGCATTGTCCTTGTGGGTTTCTGAGACAATAACGCTACCAGAGTAGGAAATCATCTTTCTCCTATGCGGCTGATGGTTTCAAACTGCATACTTCCTATTACGTACAGCTCAACTAGTCACCACTATGCTACCAGAATAACATAAGGTATATACAAAAAACCCACTGGCATCGAGTCAATGCTAACTCATGGTGACCCTATGGAACAGGGTAGAACTGCCCCATGAGTTCCTGAGACTGTAACTATTTATGGGAATACAAAGCCCCGTCTTTCTCCTGAGGAGCAGCTGGTAGTTTCAAACTGCTAACCTTTAGGATCATAGCCCAACACATAATCACTATGCCATCATGGGTCCTAAGGTATACACAAAGCGATTTCAAAAGGTTCATGGGAAAATTCCATTATCTTATCATTCCATTTTTCACAAACTTTTTGAAGCCCCCTAACACAATGGTTCATAAGGACAAAGGGGTGCTAATTTACAATAGGCATCAAAACATTAGTCATTACAGCCTTATTACAGTCATTACTGCGTTATTATGGTAAAGATGGTTTAGTATGTCTGAAAGTATTTCTTAAATATTTTTAATCCATAGAAAGATATCCTATGTACTAAGACAAGCATTTAATTGATGGTTAGATATGAATTGTACCTAACTGGTCCAACATAAATATGACTTAAAGACAGATTAAGGAATGGAATTCATTCATAAACTAGAGACTGCCTGTATGTAATATGGTATTCGTACAATGTCCAGATCACACAACTTCCTACTTCACCGAACCTATCATAGATGTTAAGCAACACATGACTGTATAGTCCCAGACTTGAGCAGGACAGAAAAGTTAACTATATATGATGTTTTACATTGTAGTAGTCATAAAGCAATGAACATACAAGAAGTCACGGCTTCCAATACGACCAAATATAAATGGTTTGTGAAGGGCAGCATCAGCCTTCTAGTCAATATTCCTAAACAATATTAATTGACATGCTAAAATACTGTCAAAATGTTTTAAATTACCTTATAAAACACATTTGTAGTACTGCTGAAAGTCCTTTTTTTCTACTATGCCAGAGAGAAAGATTTTCACTTATAAAATAAAATCTAATTTTGAAATAAAAATTTAAATTTCCACAACTTAAGTCACAATCTTGCAGTCACACTTTGGGAAATGTATGCATATGCATACTTTAGCACTAATAGAAGATTGACATTTCATACTGTTCATCGTTAACAGTGTTTGTAATAGCAGATGGCTGAAAACCACCTAAAGAATATAAGGTTGAGAAAATAAGTTATGTTTCACACACACCAGGCAATACATCCAGTCTTTTTAAAAAATAAAAAATGAGCCTCTGTGGTAATATGGAAAGGTTTTTAAAACACAATAAGAGTAAGAATTAAAGATACATAGTATTTGTCCTAAATACATGTG